CGAGTCCATTTCTTGCCTCTGCCCGGGTTTCATTTGTGTCCTTGGGCACATCCCCCGGTGAGACGTTCCGAAGCTCCCGGGCCAGTGGCCTCATGTCGTTTCTGGGCCCAGCTCCTCCCGTGCGGGTGGGGGAAGGGTTGTCCATCACGTTGTCGGGCTCGTGGGAACGATTCCAAGCAGGGACTTTCCTTTAGTGCATGGACGGTGCTCAGCCGGGCCAGCCCCCAGCCTGGCAAAAGCGCCTTCCGGAGGGAGACCTCAAAGGACTTGGCAAGAAGGTCTAGAGCAGGGGGGGGGGGAACCTTGGGGCATGTGGCCCCCCGGCTTGCCTGGATCCCGCCCCCAAAGTGCAGGACATCCCCCCAGCATTGGAGAGTCCACGCTAGCGCCCCAGCCCCTCACTGACCCACCGCGGGGCGGGAGCACCCGCAATCGACTCAGCTGGGCCCCCCAAGCTCTGCTGTGCGAGGGAACGGGGGGAGGGTCTTTCTCCTCCGTCGGGGGCCACAGCAAAGCGGGGTTGGTTTTTCTTTTTTGCTTTTCACTTGTGTGGGGCCCCCGGCTGATGTTTTCTGTGGGTTAGTGGCCCCCGGCCCAAAAAAAGGCTCCCCAGCCTACAAAGTTATGCCCATTCTGTGGATGGGGAAACTGAGGCAGAAAGCAGCAACGTGACAATTGCAGCCCCCTAGCAGCCTGGGGGAAAACCTGGGAATGGAACTTAGGGCTTCGGGATGTCTAGTGCTCTGGCCACTAGCCAACACTACCTCTCAATGGGCACTCCAGGCACCGCTGGGATGGAACTTGCACTCGTCGGACCTGGGAGTTAGTCTCAGTCAAGGCTCCTGGGTCTCAGCCTCCCCCTTTAGGAGACGGGGATAGTAACTAGCTCCGGGGCAGCGCTGCTGGGAGGGCCAGGGGCCCCGTGTGCAGCCAGCGGGCCCGGCGCCCTGCAAGTCGCAGGTTACGCGCTTATTGTGGCTGAAGCTAAAGAGGAGGGTTACGAGTTGCCAAGGGCGGCTCAGGAGCCGGAGCGGGGGGCAGGGGGCTGGCGATGGTGCCTGCCCCTCTTCCTTCCTTGCATGTCGATTTCATCCCCGCGTCCGCGCCCCCCCCCCCAACGCCCTTGGCTAGCGCCTCGCGTGTCTCACTCTGTCCCCGCTGTGTTCCAGGTGGCCTGGCTCCCGGGAGGATGTCTTACTTCGCGTACCAGTACAAGCAGCGGAACTACACCCCGTACTCCACGACGCGCCTGCTGGCGTGCGCCGAGCCCTGCGTGGTGAAGGGCCCGGCGCCGTGCGGGACCAAGTGCGTGGAGCCCTGTGCCACGAAACGGCCAGCGCCCTGCGTGCCCAAGTGCAGAGACCCGTGTGCCGGGAAGGCCCCCGTCCACTGCGAGCCCAAGTGTTTGGAGCCGCATGCCCAGCGAGGCCCGGCACACTGTGCCCCCAAATTCTCCGAGCCCGCAGGCGTGAAGTGCTCCGTGCCGTGGGTGCCGAGGTGCCATGAGCCGTACGGGCCGATCCCCGCTCGGCCTTTCCCCGAGCGGTGGAATCCGTGCGCTCCTCCCTACGGGCAGCCCTTCGTGACGGGGTACCCCCAGGCCTGTGGCCCCTCCTACGGGCCGTCGTTCCCGAAATACTCCTACCCTTGTGCTCCCCAGTGGCCCGGCGGGTGGGGCTACGGGGGCTGTGGGCCGTGCTAAGCCCGGAAGCAGCCCAACCCCGATGGGAAACGAAAACGCTCGAGGCAGATTCCCAGCTGAGGGTATGGGCAGCAGGGTCTCACCCGGCCGCGTCCCTTCGCCACCCTCCCCTTCCCTTAGGTGTACGGCTCTTTCCGCTAGCGGCCTGGCCGCCACCTTGGA